CCTCCAGAGAGAGGGACATGCCCATCCTCAGTCGCCCAGACAAATGGGACGGCACGCATGGCTCTCCTGAAGGACTATTAGCCACACTAGCCATGACGTTTGAATGTCAACCACACCGTTATGCCACACCTTGCTCCCGGGTGGCGCTGCTCACCTCCCTCCTCACCGGCCGAGCTCAGGAATGGGCAGCAGCGATGTACAACAAATGATCAGAGGCCTGTAATGACTATGACACATTCGTGAATGAACTCAGGAGGACTTTTGTTCCCCCCAGCGGCGAGGCGTCAACGGAGGCTCAGCTCCTCCAGCTCCGACAAGGGAACCAGACAGCAGCCCAGTACATGTCTCGGTTCCGAAACAAGGCGGCCAAGCTGAGATGGGGGATGACGCGCTAAAAGCCGTCTATATAGAGGGGCTCTCCTCCCATATCAGAGATGGGATGATCGGACGGGAGACCCCCGGGACCCTGGACAAGGCGGCCGACCTCGCTCTCCAGATGGACTTACGCCTTTTTACGTGTCGGCCCGCTGAAACTGCAGTACCGACGACCACCGCCCCGTTCCGCTCAGCCAGCTCGTTCCCAGACGAACCCATGCAACTGGGACACCTGAACCCAGAGGAGAGAGAGAGACGCTATAAGGAGGGATTATGCGTGTATTGTGGTGCACCTGGCCATTGGCGCTTCACCTGCCCCTCCCGGCCGGGAAACGCAAACTCCAAGTAGGCAGCAGCAGAGGGGTCCTGCTTGGAGTATTCGGTACCCCCTCAACCCGCACCTTGCTCCCAGTGACTCTCCATCTCCCCCAGGGGCCCGTCGAGCTGGAGGCGCTCCTAGACTCGGGAGCGGCGGACTGTTTTATGGACAAAGACCTAGCCACCCGTCTTCACGTTCCCCTGTCCGCTCTCCACCAAACCATCCCTGTTACCTCCGTGGATGGCACTCCTCTCCAGCCCTATCCTATCCACCAGGAGACTGTGGATCTCCGCATGGACATACGCCCTCATTCAGAAACTCTCCGGTTCCTGATCATCACAGCCCCTTTGTCCCCCCTGATCCTGGGTCACTCCTGGTTTTTACGCCACAATCCCCAGATCTCCTGGTCATCTGGGCAGGTGCTCACCTGAGGGGCAGCCTGTCACTCCCATGTACCCCCTCAACCTGACTCAGAGCCTGACCACCCAGATGTCGACGTTTCCCAGATCCCCTCCTGCTACCATGACCTGGCCCGGGTTTTCTCAAAGACTCCTACCACCACCCTGCCTCCTCATCGCCCATATGACCTGGAGATAAAACTCCTGCCTGGAACAGTTCCACCCCGGGGCCGTCTGTACTCCTTGTCCCCGGCGGAGACCCAGGCCATGGAGACTTATATAACGGAGGCTCTCCAACAGGGGTTTATCCGACCTTCCACCTCTCCCGGAGCTGCAGGGTTTTTCTTCGTGAAGAAGAAGGAGGGGGGCCTCCGACCCTGCATCGACTATCGGGGATTGAACAAGATCACGGTCCGTGACCGTCACCCCTTGCCCTTGATGACCACCACCCAGGACGTAGTGTCCCAATCCGCCATTTTCACCAAGTTGGACCTGCGCAGTGCCTACAACCTGGTCAGGATAAAACAAGGCGATGAGTGGAAGACCGCCTTCATCACCCCGACAGGTCATTGGGAGTACTTGGTCATGCCCTTTGGCTTGTGTAACAGCCCCGCGGTTTTCCAACGTCTGATCACTGACATTCTGAGGGACAAGTTGGGCCGATGGGTGTTTGTTTACCTCGATGACATCCTGATCTACTCTCGAACCCTGGAGGAGCACATCCCACACGTACGAGCCGTTCTTTCCCAGCTGCTGGAGAACGGACTATATTGTAAATTGGAAAAATGTGCTTTCCATCAGGAGACCATCTCCTTCCTGGGGTTCGTCGTCTCATCACAAGGTTTTTCAATGGACCCCCAGAAAGTCCAGGCGGTTGCCCAATGGCCGCAGCCGACGTCCCTGAAGCAGCTTCAAAGCTTCCTGGGATTTTCGAACTTTTATCGCAGCTTTATTCGCAGTTTCAGCTCCATAGCAGCTCCTCTCACTGCTCTAACCAAAACAACCAACCAGACCCGTCCTTTCCGTTTCACCCCTGAGGCCACACAGGCGTTCCGCACCCTGGTGCACCTTTTCATGACGGCTCCCCTCCTAGTCCATCTGGACCCAGCTAAACCTTTCGTCGTGGAGGTGGACGCATCTGAGGTGGGAACAGGGGCGGTCCTATCTCAACACGGCCCAGACTCCAAGCTTCATCCCTGTGCCTATTTCTCCCGTAAATTCACGCCGACCCAGACTAATTACGGAGTGGAGGACAGGGAGCTCCTGGCGATTAAATGGGCACTGGAGGAGTGGCGGCAGTGGCTATTGGGGGCCCCGGAACCGTTTACCATCTGGACAGATCACCAAAATCTCATCCACATTCAGAATGCTCGCCAGCTCAATCCCCACCAAGCCCGTTGAGCTCTATTCTTCGAGTCTTTCCACTTCCACCTGGCTTATCGCCCTGGTTCCAAGAACCTGAAGGCGGACGCCCTTTCCCGCCGTCACGCCCAGTCTGCACCAGTCAGGGAACCGCCACCCATTCTGCCAGCCCAGAGGTTTGTCGCGGCCCTTCACTGGCCGGTGGAGGACGCTATCCAAGCTGCTCTGCCTGCTGAGCCCGCGCCTGCTGACACGCCCTCCAACCGACTGTATGTACCGTCCTCCTGACGGTCCGAAGCCCTAGCATGGGGGCATGCCTCTCGCTTGGCTGGTCACCAAGGGGAGACCCGGACCCTCCAGTTCCTATGACAGGCTCTGTGGTGGCCCTCCATGGCCAAGGATGTCCAGGAATACGTGGCCGCCTGTCCCACTTGCGCCCGTTCCAAGACTCCAAACCAACTCCCGGCTGGAGACCTTCACCCTCTTCCAGTTCCACACCCGTCATGGTCCCACATAGGTCTGGACTTTATTACAGGGTTGCCTCCCGTCAACCAGCTCGACACCGTCCTAACCGTAGTGGACAGATTTTCCAAAGCGGTCCACCTGGTGGCTCTTCCTGGCCTGCCCACCGCCAAACAAACGGCCGAGATCCTCTTGGAGCAGGTGGTACGTCTCCATGGCTTCCCTCAAGACATTGTTTCTGACAGGGGGCCCCAGTTCATGTCCAGGTTCTGGAGAGCCTTCTGCCGGCTGGTCGGTGCCAGTAGCAGCCTCTCGTCTGGCTACCACCCCCAAACCAATGGACAGACCGAGCGCGCTAACAAGCAGCTCGGTCGGTACCTACGCTGCTTCGCCTCTTCCCAACCAAACACATGGCCCAAACATCTCTTGTGGGCGGAGATGTCCCACAACCTCCACGTCTCCTCGGCTACTGGTCACTCCCCATTCGAGCTGTGCTATGGGTACCAGCCCCCTCTGTTCACTCACCAGGAACCAGAGACTGAGGTCCCTGCGGCACGGACCCTGGTTCGACGTTGCCGCCTCGCCTGGATCCGTGCTCGGGCGGCCATCAGACGAGCCAACACCGAGTACGCTCGCCAGCATAAACGCCGCCATCGGACAGGCCCAACTTTTCAGCCCGGCGATAACGTATGGGTGTCTACCCGTAACATGCGTCTGCCCGCTGGCTCCAGGAAGCTCAGCCCACGGTTTCTGGGTCCTTACCCTGTGAAGAGGGTCATTAACCCCGTGGCATATCGCATCCACCTGCCCAAGCCTCTCAAGGTTCACCCCGTCTTCCATGTCTCCCAGCTGAGGCCGGTGCAGACGTCTCCTCTCGCTCCCCCTCCGGACCCCGAACCGCCGCCTCGTGTGGTTGGCGAGGATGGTGTTTTTGCTGTGCGCCACCTGATGGATGCTCGTCGCCGTGGCAGGGGTTGGCAATACCTGGTGGACTGGGCGAATTACGGGCCGGAGGAACACTCCTGGGAGCCGCCGAGGGTGATCCTGGACCCCTCTCTCATCACAGACTTCTGGGCTCGCCACTCTGGGACTTCTGGGGCCGTCCCTCGGGTGGGGGGTACTGTCACGCAGTCTCCCTCACAGCCATCGACCTCCTCAAGGGAGGAACCGCAGAGCCACTCAGACCATCCGAACTCCATTACCCAACATCCCCAGCACCAGTCTTCCGGTTCACGTCACCCACCAAGTCTACTTAAGGAAGTGCCGCACAACGCCGACTCACTCAGTCATCTTTCTCACCGAATCGAACTCAGAGTCCAGACCAGATCATCTCAGATCACTCAGCCTGTGTTAACCAGATCAGCCAGATCTAAGAGACATGACAGCTCTTAAACGTCAGCCCTGTGCTGTGGGAGCCACCGTGCTCAGCTGTTTCATCACACCGCTGCGCACCCGGCTCCTAGATTAAACAGCTTGCTCACTCCACCCGGCGTCAGTTCACTCCGTGCTTGGGTTAAGAAGCCACGCCACATCTCCAACTCTCGCTCAGCTCGAGTCAGCCATTACACATTTCTTTACTTAGATGTTTTTCTGTCATCAGATATATATTTTTGCATTTATTTCAATTTTGTTATAAAATATGAATGTATCAATTTAATGCCGTGAACTCAACATGTAAAAAAGAGTCATAGCTCTGATAATTAAAAATAATGAAGAAAACTTTTGTACAAAACCTGGTTTACCTGTGAAAATATGAAATAGCCCTCTACAATTAAAAAATGAAAGAAAAAAGAAAGTAAAAGGAAAGAAAGGAGAAAAATAGTTTATAGAATACTTTTCTATAAAGGTGTGTTGTCACCTCCATGTACATGGTTGTCATGGTTCCTAAACGTCTCAATGTAAAGTACCCGGATGAATATGTTGTTGACTAAAGAAGGTAGATTAGGCAGCAGAAATCGCTTGATAACGCTTAATACATCCTGGTAGCGCTGTTGGAAAAGGTCGAAACATTAATCTAAACGTTAACATTTGAAGGTGACGCTATCGCGTGCCAAAAGCGAAACAGGAAACAGTGACTTATTTTGTTTCAGCTCTTTACTCTTTGTGAGGTCTTTAATAGACCAATCAGCGCGAAGGGGGTGGAGTCTGCAGCAAATTAAGCAGTGAGCTGCGGATGAGAGCATCAGAGAGAAAGCTTGTGTAAGCAGCCATCCGTCCCGCTCTACCTTAACACCTTTATCGGTAAGAGTCGTTTCATGCTTCACCCATTTGTCCGTGTTTGAGAACAGCGCGTTTGAGTGTTTACTACACACCAATATATAATTCACTTCTTTCTCTGAGTGGTTTTTATCAAGGTGTGGAAGTGTGGGGATGTTCCAAGGTGTGTATTGACCGGATTAAGAGATTACTTGATCGCAATCAACATGTGTGGGCTTTTGATTAGCGGTGTCTAGTAAAACCCATGGATTAAAGCCCGTCATGTGTCCACCACCCAGGCTGGTTGAATATTGTGGCCAATGCTTTTCCTCTGTCTGAAATCATCTGAGTGTTTATGTGGCTGTTGTCCTTGAAACGCATCCAAAGACGCAGTGAGTGATTTTATGATGCCTAAACAAGGCAAATTCCCACCCAAAACACACCATACACATCCATCCTCCTGTTATTGACTGGTGTGTGTGTGTGTGTGTGTGTGTGTGTGTGTGTGTGTGTGTGTGTGTGTGTGTGTGTGTGTGTGTGTGTGTGTGTGTAGCCTTATTTAGGTGCTGTTTTATTTAAAATATGTCACTCATGTTCTGATCATCAGTCACCCCATGTGTGACAGAAATATCTGATTATTTCAAATGTAAATATTGTATTTTATGTATATTTTTTTTCACAAAAATGATCTCCGATGTAAAAGTTTACATTAATAGTTAGATTAAACACCCCCTTTCTCCTTCCTTCTGCTTCTCTGCCCTCCAAGATAATCAACTCATTTATTTAGGTTCATGGTAGCTATATAGTTTCTAAAGAAACGAGTTTCGGTTTAAGTCCTAATCCCAATGAATTAATCACATATGCATCCAAATCTCTACTTAATCTCTGCTGACAACCTGCTATTTGTCTACCGTGTGTGTGTGTGTGTGTGTGTGTGTGTGTGTGTGTGTGTGTGTGTGTGTGTGTGTGTGTGTGTGTGTGTGTGTGTGTGTGTGTGTGTGTGTGTGTGTGTGTGTGTGTGTGTGTAACAGCTGAGAGAAACCTGTAATAACCAATCCAGTTGTTTATTCTAGAGCAGGGGTGTCAAACTCAAATTCACACGGGGCCGAAATGAAAATCTGGGACGAAGTTGCGGGCCAAACTTAATATTTTTTGAAAAAGTGACGGCAAATTTGCACTTTTTTATCAACATATATGCAATTTTGAACCTTTTAATTTGGAAACAAACTTATTTTTGCATTAACACTGAATGTGGAATAACCAAATGACACACGAGCAAGTCAGTTTTAAATAAAACACATCAGCGGTATTCATTACTTGTGGTATAATCAGCATTTTTAAAATCTTTTCAGGATTTATGTTTTCTTGTTGTTTATTCATTTTTCTTATTTTTTATTCTCCTTTTTTTTCTCCTGTAATAAGTGTCATCGCTGCTGTGACGTCTAGTAGCGTTCCCCACTGAGGAACAATAAAGGGATTTTCTATACTATTCATCTATCTGCAGCCTTTCCACTTCCTGTTTACTGTAGGTTAAATCTTTTCTCACGGGCCAACAACAAAATAAAAATATCATTTTATCTTAAATGAAAATGCAACATCTCACCTGTTAACTTTCATGTTTTGGAGCAGAAAAAGAGCATAAAACCAACATATTTAAAGCTCAGTTTGCTCCACTGGTTTACTGTGATGCTCACCTGTTCCAGCCAGATACCTGCATCATGGGGTTGATCTGAGCTGAGGAGGAGGCTCCTGTTGTTTTGTTCATCTTCATCATAATAATGACAACATTAGATGACAACAGGAGCTCACATAGGTTTGTGCTGATGAACATGTCTGAGCAGCTTGACCGCGTTGTTGTGTGTCGGGGAGGAAAAATAAAAACAACAGCAGCCACAGAGTCATGCTGGTTTGAGCGTGTCGCTGCTCGCTGGAGTTATATCAGCTCTGTCTGGACGTTAGTTGGAAAACTTTCTCTTTCAGTCGTGAACACATTACTGAGCGGCTAGAATCTCCGTTTCTGGGCTTCAACGTCAGAAAATAGCTGAGTGAACTCAGCGCTGAGTGAGAGGAGTGTTTAGTTTGTCCGAGACAGCGGAGCTTCAGACACCGGCAGCAGACGCTGGAAAAAACACAAAGGAGGGAGCGCGTCGGCTCCGCACTAATGTCGCAAAGCATCATGGTAGTTGCAGTCTTTGTGGTAAAATCGGCCAGCGAGTCAGTTTTAATTTATTTTTAGATAATTTGCCCGCGGGCCTTGTGTCTGACACGTGTCCTAGAGTGTAAATGATGCTTCCTTGAGCTAGCGGCACACCTGTTCTGCAGTGTGATGTAAACCAAGTGAGGAAAGTAATGCAGATTCATCTGCACGTGTTTAGAAATACTTTGGTCTCTGCACGTCTCACAATAAAAAAAAGGTTGCAAATGAAAAAAGGGTCAATACAAAAAATAAATGTTTCCTTTTGTCAGAAACAATTTCCATGCACACAACGAGTGCATCAGAAAGACGTGCACAATTTAAATTTACCAACAACAAACAGAAATAGTTGTGAAGGTGGCTCAGAGTGCAGGAATATTCAGGTTAAACTAAGAGAAAAGGAAGAGAATAGCAAACTAAATGTTTCAGATCAGCAGACAGATAGCCAGTCTAAATGCTAAATGCAGGTTTCAAGATATGAATTAAAAAAACTGTAAACGAATAATGAAGTAGGCTAAAAGATCTCAAAAAGCAGCTGTGTTGTACATAAATTAACAACAAAGGAACCCGAGAATATTATCTAAAGTAATCCTGGCCTCGTTTGGTAAAGGTCAAAGGTCATGAAGCAATAAAAACAAGACAGAGGAACGATGTTAAAGTTCCAAGACCAAAGCTTTTGCTGAACTCACATCTCACTATCAGCCCGTGCCTTTATGGCTGACTTTGAAGGGTGGAATAAAGAAAGACTCAGAAAGAAAACAAATTCCTGCACGCAGCTTTGCAATACATGTTTTTGTACAGGGTACAAAAGCACATCCAACTGGGACTCCTCCCAGCTATGTGTACAATACTCACTTTTGTTCTGCTCTTATGTGAAACACTAAAATAAGCTAATGCTACGACTTCTGCTGTCAAAAAGTTCCAAACTTACCAAAAAGGTTTGCTTACATCATCATGTGTTTTTCCTCCTTCGTCAGGATCACCGATCTGATCTCCTCGAAACAGTGCACACTTTCACACACTCACACACACTCAGATTTCTTCCCATGAGACTTGTTGGTGGTGATGCGCCTTGCTCTCCATCATCTCCTGTGTGTCCAGACTGGTTGAAAAGCCTCCAGTTATTTTCCTTTTTGTACTGGCCCCAAACACACGGTGATATAATTACAGCTCAGAATGCTCCCTAATGCTCGCACAGCTGCTAGTGTGTGTGTGTGTGTGTGTGTGTGTGTGTGTGTGTGTGTGTGTGTGTGTGTGTGTGTGTGTGTGTGTGTGTGTGTGTGTGTGTGTGTGTGTGTGTGTGTGTGTGTGTGTGTGTGTGTGTGTGTGTGTGTGTGTGTGTGTGTGTGTGTGTGTGTGTGTGTGTGTGTGTGTGTGTGTGTGTGTGTGTTGTCTGATATATCATAAATATAAAGACAATACATTTAATTGAGTATAGGGTGTTATAATCAGCTCTGAGTCAAAACTAGTATCTCCATGGAAGCTGCATCTGTTAAACCTTCTGTTATCTATTCTTTGACTAAATTTATTTTAAAAACTCAGCTTGATATGAAACCCATTTTTCTGTCCTTTCTTACTCATTCTCACTCCATGTGCCTTTTCTTCTGGGCAAGGCGATGATTAATACGAGGATTGTTCTTTGCCCACTGGGGCGCGAGCGGGGAGAATTTGGTGAACTTCAGGCACATTTTCATTCTCTATAAGGGCTTGAATAAGTAAAAGGTGCTGAGGTAAAACTGCACTGCAGATAGCTGATTTTGTCTGCAAATGGAGTGGACCCAATCTGCAGGAGTTTAGACACGGTAGTCTATCAATCCCTGAAGCATGGTAAAAGCAAGGCTGGGCCATTAATACGATTTGTAATTTCATTTTTTATTTCAGCTCCTAATGATCCCAAGAACAAATGAATATTATTCAGATAACTTCATCACATTCTGTAGGGCAGGGCTGTACCTGCTTTGATTTCTGCTGTTTAAAAAAACATTTGCACAGCCAAAAACTGTTTTTCACTAGAATTTACTACAACTTTTATTTACTCGAAATTAGGGCTGCACGATATTAGGAAAACCTGCGATATTCGATAACGGTGCTTAATATTGCGATATCGATATTACTCGCGATAAATGAACAAATACTAAAGTATGCAGTGTTGATGTCGTCTGGCGTGTGACATCTACTCTGGGCTCAAAGCAAACAAAAACGAATGCATGAATTCCATTAGAACATAACATTTTTATTGCAAAAATATGCAGCTGCACCTGCTACTGTATTAGCAGCAAAACAACAAACTGCATGCATGCAGTTTCTCAGTGACTTTAAAACATCATCTCCACCATAAAACTTTTTCTGATGCTCCAAATACAGAAAAACATCCCTTACCAGGGTTTTTAGAATAAATAAAAAAATCTGAAAATTACTTTAAATGTTAAATAATAGTTAACATCACTTACATGCAACAGCAAATTCTCTCATTGCTACTGAACATTTTCTCCACTTATGTGGTTATGATATAAGGCTGTTGCTGTAATTGGGAAGTGAACTGTGCTGGGCCAAACTAGGAGAATATTAAGATTTTTTTGAGGCAAATAGAAAAACAATTGTCTACCTTTCAGAAGAGGAACTGGCAAAAAACACCTACATGGAAAATATGTGAAAACATTTGTTTTTAACCCCAAATTGAACAAGTTTACCTAGATCTTAAAAAGCAGCTCAGATGATGAAACTGCAACTATGATTCTGATAACAAGCTAACAAATTGAACTAGCTCCTCTAAGACAAGACAACCGGCTAGCAGAGCTTCTGACTGACAGTTTTTGTGCAGCAGCAAACCAACTATCCTGATTAACAAGGT